ACAGACGGATGATGCGACGGCTAGCACTGAGTCAGCTCACAATTCAAATACAAAATGGGCCGGTCTCAACTCTCAACTCTGCGGCTCTGCCTCTCAGCGTCTCATATCTCAGCTCTCAGTCTCAGACTCTCAGAGTCTTAGTCTCAACCTCTCAGCCCTCAGGTCTCAACTCTCGAGAGTCTGCTCTAAAGTCTCAACGTTTACAAGTATTTATCAAGCTATACCGAACAATATTTAGCAAAATAAAAGTACGCAAGTGACTGCAACTGTGAAGTGTGAACACAGGATCATAGGACTACTAGAGAGTAGGAACTAGTAGGGCCCCAGCCCCCAGACCTCAGGAGCCTTGGATCTGCTTTTTTTAAATACTCAGGATCGAGGCCTGAGCTCAGGCCTGAGCATACTCATCACGGTGAGTAGGCGCACCAAGTTCGGTTTCTGAGTTGTACACATCCCACTCACTGGCATCATGCTACATAGTCGGAAAATATCATTTCCTCCATGACATGCAACATTTTCCGAAGTGACTCCATACAAAGATCACTCTTTTACCTAAATCTTTATGGACTAAAATTATGACTAAAACCCTTTATGCCTAAAAATCATGACTAAAACCCCTTTTTATTATGCCTAAAAATTATGACTAAATTTTGGTTTTGGTTTTTTTTGCTTTTACGGCAAAGCTATACAAAAGTTGAGAGCTGCGGCTTTTTGTAGTCCGGCTTCGAAAAGCCCGGGGCTCTAGGATGGCAGTTAGAGATAGCGATTTAGAAATTACAATTAGAGATAGCGAGTAGAAATGCCTAGTGCACGAAGGCGTAGTGTGTTAGCAATTACATACACATAGGATACTAGTGTAAGTTATACGTATAAATAGTGGGGTTAAAAACAAACAAATTTACACTCTCGCTCACACACTACCGCAAGCAAACTCCCTTTAGCAATGAGGATAGCAGTTTGCGTATCAATCTCGGCGGTCTCCTAACCAAGTCACTTAATAATGTATTCACAACACCTGCTACTGCCGAACCCACCGACGGAGATCTAGCCATAACCGATGTCGACACCAAGCAGGGTACAAGCTCAATCACACAGGATACCACCACCACCAAATCCACAGCACAAGGAGTGCTTAACCACGCAGAAACTCTTTGTGAACTAGCCTATCACGAAGAGAACCTAACAAAGATAGCGAAGAATACCCCGCCCCTCAGTCTATTTCTCTCTCCCAACAACACCTTCTAATCATAGTACAACTATTACTAGCACTACTACCACCACCAACGCAACTCCTCCAGATAGTTCCACACCAAAACCAAATCCCACCACATCAACAGATGAGAAGTCTGCTGCGGTATCCAACAATGATGTTCAAAACTTGATTCAAAACAGAACGCCTCGATTGAACAACTGAAGGGTATTGTCTCAGTCCTCTCCCCCCATGGTAACGGAATGAAGACCCATCGCACAGTGGAAGGCATCTCTACTATATTGGCTACGCTGGGGCAGTCACTTCCGGAGGTACTCGAGGCCAAAACAATCAAAGATAAGTTGTCGTTGGCAGAGACCAAGAAGAATAACCGCCCTGTTGCAAACTCTAATAACGACAACGATATAATAGCCTTTGCTGAGGGTACTGTACGTGTGCGCAATAAGCGTGAAACCTTTTATTCAGCAGCGGATATTATGCATGCAGCACTATTGCGCTTTGGTTATATGTGGCGCTTTACACCTAATTTTAGTACCGACAAAGCCGCTATTGACCTTATACTTATGGCTGGCTGGTTAAACACACACACCCTAGAGAGTGTAGCTCGGTTTGACGAAACACTTCTCGCACCGATAGTCTCATACAACGAGTTCACCCAATACGCAGTGCTACCCCCACAACTGCTTGCTACATTTCTTACCCTACATGCTAATCGTCGCTCGAATACGACATGTCACCGCTGCATGTTGGAAGCTCGTTTCTGCATATGTAATAACAGTAACAAGTGCTCGCATGTGTCTCAATATCGTGGGTGTTTGGACTTCAATTTGGCTCGTTCATATACACGCACGAGTTGTAGTTTCTCGCACACATGCAATGTTCCGGGTTGCGCCACACCCAACGCACATGCTGCCTCTAAACACAGTTGAATCTCTCAAGCACACTCACATACACCCACCCCGCAGTACATCCTCACACATACACTTCAACAAACAAGATTCTTTGCCACCAGTTACGCCTACACCCATACCTACTCAAACCGCACACAGAACGAGGCACACCCTCTTATATTGGCAAACACACACCAACTCCCACCTATAGTACTTAATCATCAACGTATTCGTCACTTCCTCTCCAAGCTCAAATATCCGTACTCAAAGAACGCACAAATGCTAGCAGATATCTTCGTTAATGGCGCATCAATTAGACTCTCTGGTCCTTTACCAAAGGCCTTATATAGAGAACTACCATCTATTAGAACATATACCATGGCTAAGAGCCTCAGTTAAAATAGAACTGGAACAAAACGTACTTATCGGCCCTTTATCATTATCCGAAGTACTGTAAGATTCGGTCTAGTAAAGGCGATACTAATGCTTTAGAATAAATAAACGCGTAGACAAATTTTAAGTATCGTGTAAATATCAAGGTAAATAAAACGAAATGAGACGTTTAGTAAAGTTAGGTATGCCTTGTGAAAACAGCAATACTCTGAGGGATTGTGAGGCTGAGATATTACCTATATATAATCCTCTCAGTACCGTTTCCGCCGAAGGGACTATATTTAGTGTTTCGTTGTCGCTCTATTAGAAACTATGGTATGTTTCACTGGGGCGAATCCGAGAGACTCATAAAATTCTCTCTTTAGAAAAAAGAAAGAAAAAAGAAAAATAGTCTTGACGTCCTTAGTTATTGTCTTAACCAATAACTTGCCACTATCAAGAATTACCTACTTAGCCTTCATCAGACTGGCACATCTGGTTGGCTGATTGGAAAATCAACTAGGTAACGCTAATAGTCCCTAGAAACCTATATTCGGTTGAGCCATCTCGCTACCGAAGTATTCAGATATAAATAGATTTGGAAGTTAACATAGTTCTATTAATAGAACTAGTCCAAATCATATCTGTGGCATTTTAATCTGGCCTTTTAATGACCTCGTCCAAATATCTGATATGTAAAATGGAAAAGGTATTAAGTAATAAAACCATTAAAAACCATTTTAGGAAACTTAAGTTCCTCGTGCTATTAAGAGTACATTTAGGAAACTTAAGTTCCTCGTATTATTAAGAGTACATTTAGGAAGCTTGAGTTCTTCGTACTATTAAGAGTACGTTTATAATTTACGTACTGCTTAAGAGTACGTTTATAACATAGAGTCTAATGTAGAGGCCCGGCTTATTACAGTACGTACATACCCATATTACTATCTATCCACTATCGGGGTTTTATATAAACTGCAATCCGACCGCTCTCTCAAACTCCGTCACATCTACCACCTACCTTACCCTCGTCACTCGAGTATCAATTCTAAGATAACATTCAGAGAATTTAGCCATATCAAGCTCCGTAAAGTACTTGACATTGTAACTGTTGCACCTGTGGGATCAACGCTGTCAGTAGTGGATATTCGAGCGGTCTTCCGCTCAACTCGAATTCGGTCTCAAGATATACTGTTGGTCGGATTCATATTCGAGCACCACGAAATAGGCCGTACCATTTGGTCTACGTAGTAGTCCACAGATCTTTGAGCGCCTGGGCACCGCTAACGACTTTATCGTTTTGTCTACAGGCTTGAATATCTGCCACTTCGTTGACGGTTTCCTGGCGATACATGGTCCTGGCAGGGACAGACAAGAATCAGCCAAGATCTGCTCACTGTTTGCCTTCCTCGGCATCCCAATCGCCTTTGAGAAGTCCACAACCTCAGTTACTGTAACGGAATACATTGGTGTGCTTATAGATATCAGGGCCCGTACGGTTGGCCTTAGCGCACATAAGTTGCGCTCGTACAAATTGCTGTTGCACGCATGGTGCTCTCGCACAACTGCAACCGCTCATGACATCGCCTCACTTGGCGGACGTCTCATTTGGCTGTGTGCCATATTTCCACAAGCACGACCATAAACTACTCATTTTTTTTGGCTGCTACGTCATAACCCCTCTCACTACAAGCACATTAAAGTTTCTGAAGAAGTACGGTAGGATATTCGTTCTTGGATCTGTATACCCGACAGATGAACTGGTACATTCCTTCTCGTTTATCCTGTCATGGCAATCACAGTTGCTGTGGATGCGTGTACATCGGTGGGTACAAGAGGGTTTATCTCCACAGGAGAACGGTATTTTCTACAATGGAAGGAGCATCACCATTACCCTATCAACCAGGGCGGCAAGTTCTTGTCCATCATTGCACTGGAACTCCTGGCAATTGTGTATATGATCGACACCTTTGGATCACTTTGGAGAGATCAAGTTGTTTTGATTTAAAAAATAAATAAAATAAAATAATAAAATTTTTGAAAATAATAATACAATAAATTTCATGACCCCTTGTTGAGTGATGAGAGTCTGACTTGAGACAGTTGGAATCCTGTCGTTCTTTTTTTATTCCACGACTCCGAGAGCGGGACTCCGTGAGGCAGGCCCCTAGGCCCCCAGGTGCAGGTCACAGGGTTTATGTGGAGAATGGAGACTCTAGAGTAGCTAGTGGGGGCTCTGGGACTCTCTGGCTGGTGGCCCTGGGCCTGGGGTCTAGGCTCTCGCAGTCGCTGAACTCAAATTTGAATTTGTATACCCCGGCGCGCCTGGGCTCTCGCAGTTGCTGAACTCAAAATTTGAATTTGTTTACCCCAGCGCCCAGCGGGCAGGCGCAGCGGCCCAGCAGGCCAACTCCTGCCTACAAAGTACATACTCTAGCTATTTACTCTCTAGAGTAGAATAGTGTGAATAATGGGTTTTCAATCTTCCAATTCAGAGTTCCAGACTACATACTAGCGACATTTCTATTTATAAACATTTTCTACTGTTGAATAAATATTTACACTTTTATTTTAGAGTTTCAGTTTAGACTCACTTTAGAGCCACGGGTTTAAAATTTTCTCCTCCCCAAAACCCGGGCCCTAGGCCATAGTCGAATGCCTTTATACGGCACTGGTGACAATAAAACTATTAGCCACCTCAGGCCCAGTTTCCTACCAGTCTCATACACCTTTTCGAGTTTAATTTGCTTAAATATAGGTGTATTAATATAATTAGCGTGATTTTAAGCACTTGTGACATGTGTTTGTTTTCTGACGGTTTGTTTGTGATCTGTCGGCTGAAAGCGCTCGACTTAAATGTTAGATATTGTAGCGCGGATACAACCCATTTGTTGCACTTATGTTAGGTCCTTGTCGGTCTTAAGGGCTTGACATATGTTAGCAGTTAGACACATGTATATAGGCGTCCTCTGTCTTATCTATTGCTTCAGATTCACCCATGGTTTCACAGTTGACACTATTCGTGTATCATATACGTCGACCTCTCCTCTGAGGCCGACAAAGAACTAATACAACAAGTGCAATAAATGGGCTAAAATCGCGCTAATTACATCTTAAAAGCAAAGTAAACTCGAAAAAGTAGAAGTATGAGACTGGTAGGAAACTGGGACTGAGGAAGTTAATAATTTTATTGTTACCAGTGTCGTATAAAGACATTCTAGATACTTTGTATTTTGTTTTCTCTAAAACAAATTATAAAAGGGGAAAACCGATTGTGCTCTAGCTAAATTCATTCAATTAGATGATATTGTTAAAAAAGAAGTTTACTTTACTAATACGGATACCTGAGTGCTGAGCCCGCTGAGGCTGAAAAATTTGTAAACCAAATTTAAAAAAATACAGAATTTACTTCGTTTTAAAAAAAAATTCGATATTTCACTGCTTGTAATGAATTCTGATAAATATAAATGTATTGGATACAAATTAGTTTTAAGTGAATCATATAAGGGTTAAGTAAACTCGCGGCAGAAGTGCTGGCTGTGCTGCCCTTCGATGGGTTTTAAATGTTTTAAAAATTAAAAAGCACTCGTTGTAATTTTATGTACGTATACATCTCATTGCATCAAATCTAAAATAAAACTGTTCATTTACCCGCTCAGCGGCTCATCAGCCTCCTGATTTCAGATTTGGTTATAGAGGGTGGTGAGAGTGTCTCAGTGTCAGTGTGGGACAGGGGCGACTGGCGAGTGTGGGAAAATATTTGAGAGCTATTGTCGCAATATTTTAGACGTATATCAGTTGCATATGGCGAAGGGCATCATTGGATTCAGACAGTTATATTTTATTTCTTGTGCTATTGTGCATGCTGATTCTTTAAATTCGACAAACTATCGTAAATAAGTCTCTAACCGGATCATAATTCAGTCACTGCAGTCACAACTCGTAGTGTTAAATATCGCGTATACTCACAACTATTAGTGTTAAATATTAAGTGTATACTGTCCGACGAATACCCACAGAGTTCACTGGGGTAGCACGAGTTTCACCATCGCATAAGACAGGAGTCCTGACGCGAGATTCAGCTTATTGCATACAAAGTACTTTACAAGAACGCTGCAAAATTTCAAGACGTATGGCGGCTCGGACACGTTGTTAGTTTACATATCGCAGAGGTCTTTCGAGCTTGCTCGCAACAGAATTTCGCATAGGAGCTTAGAATACAGGGGGTTTAAGCGTCATGCGTACATATATACCGACAATTATAGTGGGCCTGTTATGCACACACACACTCATCGTAGCTCAGGAGCCGTTGTTTTTATTACAAAACAGCGAACCTTACGCACACAGACAGAGTCGACAAACATCAACAAATAAATGTATTCCGAATCCCTGTGTTCATGGCTCATGCACGGTCAGTGGCATGGTGCCAGAAGGGTTCAGATGTGTTTGTCCGATAAAGTACAGCGGTCTCAGGTGTGACCAGCTACTCACTGAAGAAGAACAACAGGCCATTCTCTATCCTTCACCCTCACAAAGCCCTCTCCCAGCCAGTCCCTCGCCATCACCCACTTCCCAAGCTTCACATACACCTGCTTCTGCAGCACCTTCCCCTTCAACTGTTCCATCCCAATCTCGTTCACCTTTACCATCAAATACTCGCACGGCAGCCCCTACTCCCGCACCATCGAAGACTAGGTCTCCTAGCAACACACCTTCCAATACACCCACACGGTCACCATCGGCTTTTGCGAGCGTTACGCCGTCACGGTCCGTATCAGCAGTGCCCACCACTTCTCCGACTATCAGTGTGAGTCCCTCGCGACCCGGGCCGGTATTGGGCGAGAATGTTAAGATCGGAAAGAATGTGAAGTTCGGTGCAGGGGTAAAAGTGGGTAGTAATGTAGAATTCAAAGATAATGCAGAAGTGGGAGATTATGTGCGGGTTGCTATGGAGCTGATTGATGAGGGCGAGGCTATGGGGTTGGATCTTGCCGACCTGAATGACAGTAGAATGGAAATGTCTACGCGAAGGTATTTTAGTGAGAGGTCGCAATTTTTACAAGAGTGGTTCAGGTATTTCACCTCCAAACATGATTGCGATGGAATGCATTGCTTTAACTTCCCATAGTTCACAATTTTGATTGCATAATTCTCAGCGTGCACTTCTGGTAGTCAGATAGGGAGTGTGCAGTATGGTACAGAGTGATCGTGATCTGTACTGTATCCAAAGTTATTTTCCACTATTCGTGATCACTTCGATAGGAAAGGATACATAAAAGCCCCCACCTCACCATTGATTCGCTGGGGGATAGTCTTTCAGCTGTGCACTATGCTAGACTAACAAACAGTGATGTATGGTAGTTGTGTATATCTAGTAGGCCGTAAATAACTAGGATACAATGTCCTTCGCTCACTAATCCATGTTTCTCTACAATACATGATGCCTTGCAGGCGGCAAGCCGCAGGCGACGATCGTCGCTTGTCGGCACCCACCGAAGTTGGCGAGGGCACAAAAGTGCAAGCATCTTCTGTGGTCGCTATTGGAGTCATATTGGGTATGTTTCTATGCTATATGTGTATGTGTTTATGTACATATGTACATATCTACCTATGTACATATGTGCATTTGTACATATATACATATATACATCTATACATCTATGGAAATATACATATATACATATATACATATATAATATTTACACATATATATGCACATATGCACGTATACACATCTACACATACACATAGAAAAATTAATATATATATATATATACGCATATATAGAGAAAATAATATATATACACGCATATACGTATATAAACATATACACATACACATATACATATATATATATATACATATATACATATATACATATATACATATATACATATATACATATACATATACACATACATACGTAAACACATATTTATATACATATATACATATACACATATATAAATATATAGATATATCACATATACATATATACATATATACATATATACATATATATATACATACATATATTCATGTACTTATATATATATATATATATATATATACGCACACACACACACACACACACACACACACACACACACACACACAC